GCAACAGGTTTGGCATTTTTTGACTTTTATTGAGCCACCGGCCAAGCTGTTTTGTAGGGTTTACTTTACTCAGACTTGGAACTATTGAAGAAAAAAACCCTGAGTGGAGTTTATGATTTTGCATTTATTTGTCACTGACCATTCTTCCCTTGTCTGGGTCTTTAAAACCACAAAACCCAGCACAAGATTAATCCGTTGGGCTCTTCGTCTACAAGAGTTCTCCTTTACAGTAGAATACCGTAAAGGCAGATACAATACAGTCCCAGATGCCCTATCCAGAGCTCCAGTGGGTATCAACCAATCACCCACTTATGCTGCTGTGTTGAGCATGATTAAGGATACCTCACTACATCTACAAATCACAGATAAGGACATCTGGAAAGCACAACAAGTGGATCCTGATGTTCAGAACCTGTATGAAAAAATCCTTGAAACAGGAGAAATTATTGAAAGTCCCACAATCAAATTCNATCTTGAGCCTGTAAATTTGTCAATGTTTGTGGGCCTGATGACCTTGAAGGCTGAGCCCGATGTTTATCAGCCTTCCATTGTGGACATGAGGCTGGTGCATGATGTCCTTTGCAGCGCCAGCAGTATACTTGAGGAGGTCGGTTGGAGGTAGCTGGGTTCTGCTGGTTGGGTGTACTTTTAGTATTTGGCAATGCAGAAGTCTCACAGGAAGAAGATTTCTGAATTATCTTCCCCGAACTTTTCCTTAGTTCATATTGCAGTTGATTCTGTCGGTCCTTCTCCAGCTGTTGTCCCAAACGGACTAATTCATCCACCGTAGTTACTCTACTTCTTAGTTGACTGGGGAGTTGGGGGTTAATGTTTTTTAAGATCAGTTTAACAACATCCCCTTCACATATAGCTGGATTCCAGCGTTTACACAGAGATTGATACATGTAGGCAAAGTCTCTGATGCTTTCATCTTCTTTTTGAATTCTGTTGCGTACTCTTTCTGCCAGCTCATCCTCATAATCCTCTGATAGGAATGCAGCACGAAAATGTTTGTTAAATTCTCTCCAGGTCTGGATTTTATGACGTGCCACATCCCACCAATCTCGGGAAGTACCATGTAACACATTTCGTAGTGTAGCCATAAGTTCCTCATCAGTGAGTGGATTGAGGGCCAAAAAATCTTCACACCTCTCTAAGTACTGAAGAGGGTCAGAGGAGTCATTAGCTTTACCAAATGTTGGAAACTGCAGTTTAATGGGGCTTTTCCCCACAATTCTACTCCTCGCTTCTCCTTGCATGAATAAACTTACAGGCGACTCAGGCACATCATCAGGTTTTCCAACTCTTGTTGACTGCAATCTAGGATGGCCTGTAGTTCCTAGATGATGCTCTCCAAGTAAGTCAACTGGATGGGTTTGCACAGCTGCATGTCCAGTTACAGTGGTTGCTCTTGAGGTTTGTATATCCTCAGCTATGGAGCATAAAGTACTAAGGCAGAGAGAAATGTCCTCCTTCACTGTTTGAATGATCTCAGGTATTATTTTTGTGGTAATGTCAGCATGCTGTTCCTTTAACCTCCATCCAAGTGAAGCATCAAATTGTGCTCTTAAATACTCCACTCGTTTATCCACATGTTTGACAGTTTGTTTTTGATGCTCCAAAAGTAAATCTGTCTGTTTTGAATTCATTTGTTCCATTTGAGAAAACATTTTTCTTGACAAC